CATTTGTTTTTCGGAATAGACCTTTCCCTCAACGGAATCATAGTCTTCCTTGCAGCATCGCAGATATTCAAGAGTAAGTCTGCAAAAAATGAAAATAGCAGCAAATCAACAAATACAAAATGGATTGTAAACCTCGCTTTGGCAAGTTCACCACACGATCAATGGTGAATGAAATGAGGAATTTGTCGTCGTTGTTGTTGTTGTTTCTTTGGTTGCAATAAACCATGGTTAAATTCCTCCACTTGTGTCCATGAACTGCACTATTTACATCTGAACAGAAATTTTTTTTATTCATCGGTCGCGCCTGAATTTAAAATTCCTCTCGGTGAGCGCTTGTAATTTCTCTGAGAGCATGTCGAAATTCAACTGATACTTTAACAAGTTTAACTTCTACTGATCTTAAGAACTAAAAATACTTTGCTCCCGTTCAAATTTCTCAACCAGAAAAAGCCAGGGAAGTGAAAAAAACAAAAAACCATTAAACAAAACAACAACAAACAGACAACTATTCTTGCGAGTTTCTGTTCGCACTGAATAAACGCATAGATGTAACTCATGGTGTGAAAAAAATGGTGATTATTTTAAAAAAACAAAAAATCGAATCCCCGAGGAGTGTCTTTTAAGAATAAAAGACAATTAACCCTCAACTCCCAAGATCTCATTGATAATTCTCCTTACTATCTGCCAAACGATTTTCATCATGTTACTTTGGAGAATTTGGTATCGGATCAATTAGTAATCCCATAATTGATATTTTTCTTAATTCTCATCACTTGTCTGCATGATATTCTATAGATATAGTAGGGAGAAATTCTGTCTTGGTCACTCACGGGAGTTAAAGGGTTGATGAAAGACTGCAAACTATTCTTGTAACAACACATATTTTTAAAATCATTCTCTGGTAAACAACACTAGTGAAATTTGCTCGTGTAAAGATTTCAGCTGATGAAAAGTGAAGCGAGAAAATTGAAATAGTCTTAAATATAAAATTAAATTCTCAATTCTTTTGACAAACTCTATCGTTGCGAAGATCTTTAAACTAGTAGCATTTTTTTTTCAATCTTTGGGTCATACAACAGCTACTTAATGAGATATGATATCGAACCCCTGAAATTTGATCAAGGGAACAGGGTACAGTTTAGTAACGCACAGGAGTTTGCGTGCGTGGGAAGCAAACGCAAATGGAAATGCAAGCGCAAATTTTAAATTCCTTTTCGTTAACGCTTACGTTTGCATTTGGATTTGCGTTAGGGTTAGTCACTCGTGTGTTTCCTTGCATTTGTATTTGCGTTCTGTATTTGCATCAGATGTGTGAGCCATTTTTTCCAGTACATGTACTCAAGCGAATAAGGCCAAATAAATGCAGTAAACAAACCGAAAAGTTTTCAAAATTTTGTCTTCATCACTCAAACCTATCAGTTTCTTTAGAAAATGGGATAAAAAAATCTGTTTCATAAATATCACAGGAAAGTAAACTGAAACCCAAAGACTAAGTTCCTTTAAAATTAAAACTGAATACCTAAACAAGTAGAATCGATAGCCCTTATTCCAGATCCGCGTGCGTGGTCTGATTGGACGGCGGTTTCCTATATATATATATATTAGTATATGCGAAAGCGAGGCTATCGCGTTTAGCTCCCAAGAATATTACCAGTAGAAGTGTACAAAATTTTTACAAGTTGTTAAATTTCAAGGTATGACATCATGTTAAGACACTGCATAGCCTTTGGTTTTTACGTGCCTAGGTTCGTAAGAAGATTGTTGCGGCCTTTTGTTTTACGAGCAGATTGTTGCGGCCTTACGTGACATTCGTTGTCGCTGTCAAACAAAGATCTGGAATAAGAGCTGTTGTTCTGAGGCAAGAGACTTTAGTTGGTTTCAGCCACAACAACTAACTAGGCTCTAACCCTTACTTAATCTGGTTCCAGCCTCAAGAGCCAGACCTCATAATTTAAAATCAGTGATTAAGTTTTTCTATTTGGTAAAAAATTACTAGAATCTAAATTTTGTCGGAAATCTGAAAACCGATTTGCAGAAAAAAAAAATTTTTTGGCGAGATGGGCGAGTACTTCTTATTGTGAACGATAAAGAATCATTGCAGGTAATTTAGTGTTAACAACTGGGTTGAAAACGTAAATTAGCCACCGTAAAGGGTAAAAAAGCTGACGTTTCGAGCGTTAGCCCTTCGTCAGAGCGATAATCAATAATTATAATCAATAACGATAATCAATCGCTCTGACGAAGGGCTAACGCTCGAAACGTCAGCTTTTTTACCCTTTACGGTGGCTAATTTACGTTTTCAACCCAGTTGTTAACACTAAATTACCTGCTATACTCTCCCACCGACGCAGCACCACAGTTTCTTTAGAAACTTACCCCTTTATTCATTTGATAAAGAATCATTGTTGAGGAAGATAAATCCATGAAACAGTTAAGCCACTACATCGTGAAAAGAAATTCACACGTCCTTAATTGAACGTAGGTAACACGAAATTTATTCAAACGTCTCAGAAAACATTTCAAAGCAAAAAGCAAAGATCACAAAGCTCTCTTAGATTTAGGCACTTAAACTTGAAACTACATGGGTAAACCCGTTGATACAGTAAATTGAAGACAAAAGGATTGTCGTCACACCAGCAACAATGCCCAAGGATTTCTCTTAATAAAATTTTACCGGCAACAAATGAAGAGCAACAATATTGCGTCCTTACTTCATCAGTGCTGCGAGTTACTGCCAGTCAATTTAATCGAACAAAAGATCGAATAAATCAACTATGAATAAAATAGATAAGTTTTTATTCTTTGTAAGTTCGTTGTTGGCATGTTTATTGTTTTTTTGATTGGTTTTGAATTGTAACCATTTACAGAGTAAAGTCTAGGTATTAGCCTATTTGAGTTGAATTCGTAACAAAGCTGAAAAACCAACCTTGTTAATTTAATGGTGTCCTTTCCACTTTCCTCTCTTGTATGTCTTGATCTCCAAATGTTTTCATTTTGTGCTTGGTGCTGTCATAACAATAACAACAAAAAAAAATACGATGGGAATACATTTACACCGATCTCTAGATAAGTACTGATGAAAATAAATAAGAATCAGTATTTAAAGAGCGAAAGAAAAACTTGTTTGGAGATCTAAGATTGGCGACATTTGTTGAATCGAGGAATTAACAGCCGGTTTGCTAGAAAAGAAAAAATTCCATAATGAATGAGGTCATGAAAGCTACCAGTCTAAAGTAGAGAGAAACTTTTCCTTTCAAAAAACATTCTTTACGTCAAAAATTTCTGACAATCAGCGTGTATATTCTCTGGCGAATGTGAGAAAATAATTTTCCATAAAAGCGTTTTTAACAAATTCAATATTAACGTAGTATAGGCGTAAAAATCTCTACATGGTATAAAATTAGGTAAAGAAATGAAAAAAAATTTGAATAAGTAAATGGGTGATCTACAAGCTAACACTGACTAAAGTATCGATTCTATGCCTCTGCCCTAAAAGTCACATGGTTTAATAACAACTGTCATGGCGGCCTTTCTGAATACGTATTTGTCTTTCAAATACACCGTACAAAGTAACATACTGTTCCTTTTACATTCAACTTTACGACTTGATTTTCAAAGAAAACAACGATAAAACGATTACTGTTTTTTATTTACGTCATTTACCTTGAGAAATGTCGTAGCAAAATGGCTTCGATCAATCCATCCCGTGTCGAATTGAACTGCTCGATTCAGCAACTTCGAAGAAGCCAGCGCCGGGCGCGTCTGACAGAACAGATGATATTCAAGGTGACAGGGTTGAAATGACGTGTTCCATGGCCCAAGAATGGCTGAAAAAGAACTTGAGCGTTCTTGTACTTCGAGAGTTCTTTCCACGTGTAAGAGTGATTTCTAAACTTGGATATTAATTCAAAGAGTTATTTGTAATTCAAATGAGTTTCCAACAATGAAGGGCGGGCTGAAATTCATTAAGAGGGTCTTTGGATTTTTTCGATTTAAACCTCAGCAAAATTCAGTAATAAGGTGAAAACATGGTTGAAATAGTTGAAAAACTAACTCGATCTCAGATAAAGTTGAACTTAAAAGAAAAAATTTCCCACGAGGATCATTTTTCCATCATTTCATAACAGCTTACCCGATCATCTCGTTATATCTCAGTCGGATTTGTTTCCTTTGCTGTAAAAAATAATTACTGTTCTCTGTTCATTTCCCAAGGTGCTGGAAAGGAGAATTTCTGTGACAATCAAGAGCTTCTCTGGTTGCTGATCATTTCCTCTACTCTTGTAACCTTCGTGTTTGATTCAGGGGTGATGTTGTAAGGAGAAGTAGGCTACTAATCACTCTTATGGGTCAAAGTAGTAAAGAAATTGATAGACAGAGGTCACCCCACTCATCGTTCTAAGATCCCCTTCCTCTTTTAAAAGAAAGTATCCTAAAAAACAGTCATAATGAAACAGTAACAATGAGCAAAATTAATTAATTCTTACACATTCTTTCCTAACCAAGAGATTATAAACTGTTTACAATCTCTTGATTCTGACCCGAGGCTGGGGTCCTCAGTGGCGAACGAGGTAAGAAGTTACAGAAAACCACCACTGGTGGAACAAGTCGTCTTCAAGTAATCAAGGGCGTGAAAAATCGAAACAGGTGGGTGAAATTTCGTGCGCGGATCGTGTAATGCTTTATGGTTTACAACACTATCCGAATAATCCCGCTCGCTTCATACTTTGGCAAGCAAAAAACCCCACCCGATCCAAAAATTGGCGTCTACCAGAAATTCAGACATGAACAGTGTATTTGTATTTTCTTTCCAGCTTCTACACATTTTGGATCTTATTTCCCGACAGTTCCATCGAATCTTCACAACATGAGATATTTCCTTTAGCTCGAAGAAAAATTGTTTCCCCATTGAAGGCTTCCTACACGACAAACAAACCCCTTTGCAGCTTTGCGCACCGTATAGTGACGTTCAATTTTTTTGGAATTCAAAACAGACTTCATTATCGAGTAGGTTTTCCCTTTTATTATCTAATAGTAAAAAAATACTTTATTTACATTTAAATATTATAAAATCTACATTTAAATAGATATTTTTGACACATGGTTTATAAAAAAATATCACATAACAATTCCTCTAAAAATCCAGTTCTAATGAAAATATGTGTAGCAGTTTAAAAATGCATTCTTCACAACTGGTAATTCGAAACACTTCAGCAAGTGCTAATTTCTACTTTAAAAAATTGATTTCTATGTGTCTTTAAAAAAATTGATTTTTTATCATGTGTCACTTTTTCCTTTTGAAAATGTTTCCCAAAACTCCTCTCCTCTTTTCGTTCTTTTTGTCGTCAGGCGGACTCTCCACGCTGTGTACCGTTGACCGTAAAGGGCTGGGAATGTCTTGGGCATGCCCATTATCTGATGACCGCTGTCCATGCAGATGAGTTCTGTCAAAAATGGGTTTAGGTTTGACGGGAGGTTTTGGACCTTTTTGCAGCGAGTCATTGGAGTCTGATCGCGTGCGCCCCTCCGGCTTAGGTGCCACTGGGGGAGGGGTTGGTCCTGTCTTCTCCTTGGGAGATGCAGCAGAGTGATGCATTAATGAAGGTTTGTAAGCAGGAGAGGAATCTTCAAAGTCGTTATCAAAAGCATTCTCATCGTCAGAGAGAAACTCTGGTGGAGGTGATGTCGGTAAAACAGGAAGCTCGTCATCGGAGGGGCCGTCAAAGTCAGCAAAATCCGGGGGAGGAACGGTTGGGGGATCATCCGGCTCTAATGGAAGACTCTCTAAATCCTCTACGAGGTAAAGTTTATCTTTGACATCGCCGCCCACAGGTACACCAATGTTGGAAAAGTCTGAAGGAATAGAGGGAGGGAGGATACTAACAGGGGGAGGGGGTGGGGGATCTATGAGGACGTCCTCGTCGTCATCAAAGCTCGTAACGGTGATTAATGGTTTATAAGTTCGACCGTAAGGCTGTGTTCGCTTCGGGGATTCCGGGCTTTCCTCGCCTTTGGTTCGTGGTGGAGACTTCAGACTTATTGGCCGCGCACCTTGAGGTGGCGGAGGAGGACTGGGTAGGTCCGTTTGGCCAGCCGCTTCGCTAATGCATCGGAGCCAGCGCTTAAGATCGGAAGGATCTTTCGCTACAAAGAGATAGTCAGAGTCGTCATCACAGAGGACTCTAAAAGCGTTCCTCCTTCTTGCAGCATCGCTAGCTTCCTCGCAGAAGCCATCTTTCACGTCAATGGGAGGAACAGCATAGTTTGAACTCTGCGCGTCCTTTTTTTCGCGATAGAAGAAAAGTTGGTGACCGCGAAGTACAGTGTACAGCGTCTTCCATGCACGTAACGGCGACTTTTTCGCACCCGGTTCAAATTCCTGTTTGCGCTGCAAGATTCCCTCAATAACTGATGTTGAGGAAGCCTGGCGCTCATCTTTTGGACTACCAATCTGACTTGACTGTTTGTAGTTTTGATTTTTATCGAACCGATCACGTGCATTCCTATGTTCCCCTTGCGTCCTTTGTTCCTCAGGAATCACGCGCTGTCTTTGTGCTTCTTTCTTCCTTTTCTCGTCCATTTTCGCTGTTTCCTCAGCCCTCTTTCTATCCTCCAAAGCCCGTAATTTATCTCTGTCTTCCCGTTGTTTCCTTTCTTTTTCTCTCCGATCATTTTCCTCTTTTCGCCTCAATTCTTCCTGTCTTTTCTTTTCCCTCAACTCCTGTTCTATCCTTTCTTCTTCCTCTTGCTTCCTCCGTCTCTCTCTTTCCTTCCTCATCTCATTTTCTTCTTCCTTCTGTTTATGGATTCCTTGTTCCTGTGGAGTCAGTTTTATAATTCCCAACAACTTCATCTCCTGCGCTAATACCATGTTCTCAAACTCCTCGTGTTTCTTTATCAATTCCTCCACAGCATCCAACGAGTCGCCCACGTCACCGGACTCCTGATCAAGGTCACGTGCATTGAGCCACGCTTCCAATTGGTCAGCATCTCGTTTGAAGACCTGCACTTCTTTACTTCGTTCCAATTCTGTGCCTTTCTCCTGCCATGTGTTTTGCAACGCCAACCACTCTTTATGAAGTCGTTGCTTCTTTTCCTTAACGTCTGCAGACGCAGAATGACCGTCGGCGATGAGAGTATCAGCGGCTTCAAAGAATTCATTGACACTCTTTTGCCGCGTGTCTATTTCGGCCTTGTGCTCCTGGTGACGAGCCAGAAAGTTTTCTGCGCTTGTGACGTCATCAGGCTGTTCGTCGTCTTTGAGGACAGATGACATGTGGTTGATCCACGACCTAGGAAGATAAAACGTTTCCTCTAAGAAAATGGGTTTCGATTCTTCTAACAAACTCGTTCATTTCAATAACTTACGGATCAACGACCACTTAAAAAGTGAACAGTCGTAACAAATAGCTTTCTGTTTGTGCAACAACTGAAACCAGTGATGGAGAGTGTTTTCCTATTTTACATAGCAACCTACAAAAAGGATCAACATTGTTCCCAGAGTCTCTCTCATTCCCGCCAATGGAGCGATAGGGAGAGACTGGAAACGCGAACGAACAATGGCCTAATTTCTCTGTGACAGGGTAAAACATCCTTCTAAGCTCCCATCGAAAGTGCTGTATGTCCGTGAAAACGTTTAATCCCGTCAGTTGGTTAGGCTGCCCTTTTAACCCCACACCAAAAAAAGGGGGCGTAAACAATTTAATTGAGCAAATTATGAAGCACACTCACATGAGATCCCTGAAGTCGTTTAAAAACTTCTGCAGCTCCTCAGATTGGGTCAAGTTGGATTTTTTACTGCTGGCTTTCTCCTGTAAGCGACGCCATGATGACACCACCTCGTCCCTTTGTTCTGTAAGATGTTCCTGACCCTCAGGGAACCTTAAGGCGAGGTCCTCTGCTTCGTTTGCGATTGATTGCACTTTTTCTCCAAGGGCCTTCAGATCCAACTGTAAAGGAACATATAACCTGAGTCCAGAGTAATGATTCCGGGTATGGTGATGTCACGAGTGTCACGCCATATTTTACATGCTACGTCACGTTATTTAGGGTGCTCGCCCCATAACCCCCAACGGCAAAACGTTTTGAGTTTCAGTTTTAATTTTCTTCATTTATTTCTTCGAACATCACTGACATTGACCATAAATCAAAATAAGCCCACCATTCAACAAAGTTTGCTTACCAAAAAAAAACAACAACAAAAAGGGAAGGGCATTTGTATTATTAATTTATCATTAGAACTAGCTAATATTTTAAAATTAAAGAATTACTCACTTGGAAGCCTTGATGCTTCCTTTGCAAGGCCTGGACACCACTCAGATCACGTGCCCCATCGTCAAAGAACATAAGAGCCGCCTCTTTTTCTTGGATCCAGGCCCTTGTATCTTCCACATTTCGATTAAAGGCGTGGATTTCTCTCGCTCGGTCCAGTGCTTCAAGACGCGCGTTGGTTCTCTCTTTCAATGTGTCCCACATAGAACAAACCTCCTCCATACGATTCTCTATTGCCTGAAGAAGAGAATAAACAATTCAGACTTACCTCACTCATTGATTTGAATAGATTTCTTTGTTATGCTCTGTATATTAATATTATCTTGGTAATCAGTATTGAGCACAGCTTCCTCAAATTACGAGTATAGAGGAAATTACTTTTGAGACACTTCTATTTAAGATCACGAAATTTAGTATAAAGGGCTTCCCTTCAAAGGAAGTTCCACACTGTTGTAGACGGACAGACTAAGAGAACAAACATAGCCTGGTCCGATTTATACTTAAACAATGTAAGAGGATTTTATCCGTGTTTACATAGTCTAAACTAAACAAGAAGGGAATTAGGGAAATTTGAGAAAACCTCAGAGGCAGTCGCAAAAATACCCCCTCCTCGAGAGGTGAGATAATGCTCCGTTAACATGGAATTATTGCTTTCATAAAATAGTCCTCAAAAAAACGTTAAAATCTCAGTTACAACTGACATATCTACATACTCTTATTTCAAAACAGCCATCGACCAAAAAGAACATGCGTAAGAAATGGAGAAAAGGCATAAAAATGATGAGGAATTTATGTAAATTAGTACATTTTCAGGAAAGCCATACCCAAATACGAACAAAAAGCCCAACATTACTTACTTCTCCTTCACTGTGACCCTCATCCAGAAGAGTTTGCGCTTGCGTGGTAAGGCTAGCAATCCTCTCGCCAGAAGTCACTAAGTCACGTGTGAAGTCTTCAAACTTCTTGAGTAGAGTTTCTACATGCTCAATATCGCGACCGTAGTCATCCGACATGGCAATCGATTCCTTGTCAGCAATCCACGACTCAACTTCGTCGGCTTCCCGGAAAAAGTTGAACAGCTGGTTGGAATCTAACAAACGCTGGCGACGATACGAGGATTTTTCGCTCAGTTGTTCAAAACGAGTCTCCATCTCCGACTAAGGAAGAAAAGAAAGACAATTACGCCCTTTGATTCCATGGAGCGATCGTAACACCGCTTAAGAACAACCGATAACGGGTTAGGCGAATTAAGACGGTTAGCAACTGTAGCTTGGAGAAATTTTCCAATAAGTGTGTAAACCATTCTCGGATTACATAAATTTAACTTTACCTCGGTCACCAATTGTTCAGAAAACTCGCTCCATTTTCTCAACCAACCAGATGCAAAATCGATACTAATCGCGACTTGCTCACTCGCGGTTTTTCACGCTTCAGGAAGCCTGAGTTAACTATGAAAGTGTAAGCCTGGCCTACCCTTTGATACGTTAAAAGGATGGCACGTCTGCCTGGGCAATTCATAGAGCAGAAGTAGAATAAAATGAATTCAATCCCATATTTTGTCTAAGCTTAGTTATAAACGTTACAAGTCGTTTCTTATTACCTGGCGTCTTTGAATCTTTTCAGCGTCGAAATTCCCAGCTGTTACAAGCACCTGGCACGTGTTTCTGAGATCACCGACTTTTGCCCTATAACTGTCTAATTCCAGTTCCAGAGTCTCATGTTTACGCAACAGGGACTGGGCCATAGTTTCGTCCCGGCCATAGTCATCGCTGGAGACTCGTGGCAACTTTTCTCGAATCCAGGTCTCCACTTCAGTAACTTCCGTGTAGAACTGAGGAAATGAAGGTAACACCAGTGTTACAAGACGAAATATATGAAGACAAAGGGCGTGTCTTTTCAAGAAAAAAATATTCAAAGTCGGACGAGAATCTTCAAGAATGTAACATGTTCCATGAAAGGACCATCTTCGATTACAACATTACGATGACTCTGACACTGTATAAAGACTGATTCTTTTAAACACCTGCAAAGGATGAGTATTGATATGCCGCTAACAATTCAAAAATAACAAATAGTTCGCCGTACTAATGTTGGAGCTACATATAAATAAATGTAAAAACTTAGGGCCCGTTATTTACGCAAAGTCTAACCCAAACCACGGTTTTACGAAGTCAGTGGGCTTCAGGGATTCTTTATCGAAGCGAAAAAAAAAATTATGGTTGCTCTGGAAGGGGATTGGAGAAGTACAAGTGGTACTCGCAAAAATCGTTACGGCCTTCTCGTTTCAAGGTTTCAGATTCTATTTCTGACCTGCTGAGCCTTGAGGGATTCCTGCAGATTCTGATGACGTGTTGCTGACAAACTCGTCAGCTCGGCCCATTTTTCTTGCAAGTCAGCACATCGAGCCTCGATCTCGTCGGAAGCATAATGCTCACGCTCAATGAGTTGGTCAGCGGTAGACATAACGGTATTTATCAGCTGTTCATGCGCTGTGATCTCCGAGTCCACTGTCTCTTGTTTCTTAACAAGATTTTGAACTCCTGCAGATAAAACATGTTTTTGAATTTTATTTGTGATTTATAGAAAAGAGAGAAGAAATATTCTTTTCTTTGGCATGTTCTAGTTTTTCATACCGATGAGGGTGCGCCCTAAGTCATCTGACTTGGCCAGCGGTTCCTCATCTCGTATCCAGGCCAGCTCTTCTTCCACATTAGAGAGGAACTGCTGAAGAGCGAGTGAATCTTGCAGTTTGTTTCTTCGTGCTTCAGCTGGCTCAGAAAGGCACTTAAATCTAAAATAAAACAAAAGAACACTTAACAAACTTCATACCAGTGTTTATATTCTCAAATGAGCAGTGCCTTCATCTTCAAAAGTATTCGTACAATGCTAAAACGTTTCCTCGATTAAAACTCTGGTTTTCTGAGTTCTTTTCTCAATAAAAGCTGAAATAAGGAGTGTCAGTCGATCGCGTGGAGCCAGTGATCATTCAGGTGAGTGTATTCCCAATATCAGAGTCAATTAAAGTGTTGTCTTTTATCGGCTAAATGTCTTAAGTCTGGTCTATAATGACCGACTGGTCGTTTTTTACGGATGAGGGCTACTCAAGTCTTCAGCCGATAACAACACTGCAAAACTAAAAGGTTTACGATAATTTTCACGGAACAGACATTTGACTGAAAAGACAATTCCCCGCTTGACTCCAAAGATGACTTCAGCTCAAGTTGTCGAAACGTCAGTAACTGTCTCAGAGCACTTTTCAGAACCACTCTCACCTGGACCATCACCAAACTGGATGGAATGTTTCAAGGAGAGCTCACGTTAGACCAAAGAAACTGATTTCATTTTTCTCTTTCAACAAAGGATTACCTTTCTGCCACCGCTTTCGCTCTGTCCTCAATTTCATCCTTCTCAAAATGATCTGCCTCAACAAACTCTATCGCTTGACTCAGTATCTCGTTCACTCTCTCCTCTCGAGATGTAATGTCTGCTTCGAGCAACTGATGCTTCTTGATGAGATTGTTAGCACTTTTCACGTCTTTACCGAAATCTTTTGATGCCAAAGTATTTCCGACTTCGTAAATCCACGTTTCCAAGTCTCCAACGTTCTTCTCAAACGTCTGCCTTTGAATCGCTTCCTTTAACCGCTGACCTTTACTGCTCGACATGTCCCCCAAAAGCTTCCACAACTCTTTGACATCTTTAAGCCTCGTTTCCACTGTTTCACGTGATTGGGGAGTGGATTCCGACAGAGTCTGTCCAGCGCGAAGCACATTGTCGAGCTGACCTTTGTTAGCAGCTAACTCGGCTTCAAAAGTTTGATGTTTTTGTTGTTTTTGAAGTAGATCGGATGTTTCTCTGTACGATGCCTCGGAAGCTGTTTGTAGTTTCTCGTTCATCCACGATTCAATCTGTTACAAGAAAGCGAAATTCGACATGACTGATCCTGGCACTATGCAGGATGCGCGTTACATGCGTGTCACGCGTGAACCTCGTAATTCAATGTAATACACGCACGACATAGACGCGCACCATGGCAATGTAAAGCAGGTCCCTCGCGAAGTTGAAATAGCTGAGCCAAACTAACTAGGTTTATAATAACGATATTCAGTCTCTTTTCACAATAGCCCATTTCCGAATCACCTCGGCCTCATTTTCAAAGCGAGTCCTGGTGCTCATCCTTTCATATGATTATAAGTTTACATTCGCATGCAAATTAAACTCGTATTCATACGAGTGGTCGAGCAGCAGGCCTCGTTTCGAAAAGGAGGCCAAAAGTAATTTAGAAATGGCCTCTACAATTAGTATAGGTAATAACATGATTTCACTTGCGATTTGGGGCTAATAAACACGAGTAAATTTTCGAAGACAACAAAATTGCACAAGCCTGTAGGTCGAGTGCAATTTGTGGTTTTTGAAAAGTTTTGCAAGTGTTTATTTACGCCAAATTGCACGCGAAATCATGTTGTTACTTGTTAATAACTTACATAAAAAACGCATCACAGAAAGTCAAGACAGAAAATATTTTGGCAGCGCGCGCGCTATTTGCAATTTTTCACTCGTTTTACATGAAAAATGCACTCGTTTTCAGCCAATCAAAATCGCGAAATTTTTTCGTTAATACTATTACACTGCGTGTTAAACTGAAAAAGTAAAACATACAGACTACCATTGTTTCTCACCTCCTCAGCATCCCTAAGGAACTGAAACAGCTTCCTTGATTCACCAAGATTTCCAATCTTTGCAGTGGCCAGCGTTTTCAGTCGTTCCCAGTTTTCCAACACTTCTCTGCATCTTTTGCTAATTAGGCCCGAGTCCACGTGGTCCTTCTGTATGAGCTGGTCAGCGGATTGTTGTATAGCTTTGATCTTCTCTTCGTAGGCTGTCAGTGATTTTTCGAAGTTATGCTGATTCTTAAGCAGTGTTTCCACTGTGTCCAAGCTGTCGCTTGATTCGTCTGCCTGCAAAAACGCTTCTTTTGTTGAAATCCATGTGTCGGCCTGATCCGCGTCCCGTAGAAACAGCTAGAAAGACAATGGTAAGTGTTAGAGCGCGTTTTGAGGCCAAAAACGTAACTCTGATCATAGGTTTAAACCATTTCAATGAAGCCTCTAAATTGCAGCTAGCAACAAATGTGTGTGTTTTTTTAATATACCTTGTAGCCGATCAGTCTTTAGACGTTTGGACTTCATGTGCTTCTCTGTTATTTTTCTACTTTAAGAACTGAAAATTTCGGGGATATTTTCGACTTAAAAAGATTTGTATATGGTATCTACACTAAGCGGCCTTTTGCTGTAATGACACGCAACGCAAGAGACGCTCTCCTTCGAAACGTTGCGTGAAGACGGTGACCCCAAGTCACAAATAAAACTTAACCAAATAATCAAGTCTACCACACCTGTAATTCAAAAGACTGGGATAACTCTATTTGTCTCTCTTCCCAAGACTCCAACAACTCGTCTTTGACAAGACTCATTTCTTCGCAGTTCTCTTGAATCTCTTCTGCTGCAAAGTGTCCCTGGTCCACCAAACTGAGCCCAAACGCATGCGCACTGTTGAACGACTCCAAGCGAGCCTCGATCACACCCTAGGAAAGAAAGAGAGCTCAACACTTTAACCATCAATCTCCAAGAAGAGATAAACATGCAATTCCTATTTACAATATGAATAGATCATCCGGCACACAGACAATTAGATTATCAGCTGGATGAAGTTTCTCTTGTCATAACCTGCAACAGACAGGGCACGAGAAGATCACGTGAAAGAAGAGCAATCTAGAAAGAGCCAAAACACTCAGGAGTAAAGAGAGTAATTTTCTAAAGAAACCCTGGTGCTGAGTCGGTAGGGGTGTAACAGGATAATTTGGTTTTATCAATTGAGTCGATAACGTATATCGGCCTCCGTGAAGAGTTTCTAAAGCTGACATGGCAAGCGTTAGTCCTCCGTCACAGTGAACACTCATTCCTCACAGTACCTTTCTCTCTGTATGTAGTTCGAGCAACGCCTCTGCTTCTCTGACATTCTTAGCAGCTTCCCCGGATGAAATTCGCGTGGCTAGGTCTGTCATCCACGCCATCAAATCGCGGTAATCCATTTGAAAAATTTGTAAGAGTCGGTTGGCTTCTAGTTTACCTTTCCTGGTAAAAATTTGCAAAGGTTGTGTTAGAATAGTATTAAAATTTGTCGTTTTGTTAACAACACCGAAAAAAATCATTTGCTACCTCATAATCATGTTGAAAGCCCTGTTTACCTTTCATCGAACAAGTCATTCAGTCGTTCCCAGTTTTCTATAATTCCTTTTTGCCTCTCCTGAATGGTGGCTACCATGTGGGGCTGGGACCTAGCCAGTCGACGAGCCTCGCTTTCGAGCGCCTCCATTTTACCTTCGATGACTGTCAAATCTCGTTCCAGGTCGTCGTGTTTTCTCAACAGAGCCTCGACACCAGGCAAGTCACGGCCGTAATCATCACTAGAAAATATCACAGCCTAAAACAAAAAAAACGAAAACTTTTCATCCTTTGAACCTTTACATCAGTATGCACATTCGCCTTACTGTCCTCCATAAATTTCCACAGGTACTGACGAGAAAAATTTGTTTAACAAATCAAGAGCTTAGTTAGTTGGTAATCATTTCAATCATTGTGTGACTCAGAGGAGATATTGTAAGGAGAAATTAGATGCTAGTCACTCTTAAGGTCAAAAAAGGGCATTCATTGAACGTGTCGTACCCATACCCTGCTCTCGGCTTTTATTGAACGCGAACTACGAAAATGAGCCTTGTAGCTCTCTAGCAAACGTCCAGAAAAAAATTAAGAAGGGTCTAACACTAGTTAGCCTGTTCTTGATTAGGTTTACTTTTAAAAATCCCAATCAGGAATATTTTTAAATTGAGACTTCGTAAAAACAGCAGTTCAAATGACGAGGTTTATCCTTACAATTCTTTGTCCTCCGAGGTCTACCTATTATTATGTACTATTTCATAGTTCATTGGCGCGAAACTATGATAAATGACTCTTCATCAGAACGATTTTGTTTATGATCCTGTCATGGAGTACAAACCTTTTCACTGATCATTTCAAATACTTCATTACAATCTCTGTCAAACGCGTGCATCTCGCAAGCCTCTGCTAACCGCTGACGCCTCTCGCTGGCTCGATCCTGCAGGCGATTCCAACGCTCGTTCAGCGCCTTCTGACGTTGGGTGATATCCGCAGACCCAGCGTGTGCCTGCGATATGAGTTTCTCGGCCAGTTTGTTGATCGTCTCTACCCGTGCAGCCTCTACTGCTAAGTCTTTATCGAATTCTTTCATTTTCTTTTGTAGTCGGACACAGTGCTCTATGTCTCGTCCAGTGTCATCTGAAGAAACAATTGCTTCCTGTAATACGAAAGTCCAATATAAAACAAAGGCATGGATGTACCATTTCTATTTAATTTCCACTACACGAAAGCTGATCTTTTCTGAAGGGAGGGAGGGGGGGAAAGGGGTTGGGGAACAAGTGTCAACACCCCTTGATCTGGAACAACAGAACCATCAAAGCACAAGCGCAAACAAATGGACAGAAAGATAGAATGGAGAAAAAGTTCGCTGTGAAAGGTCTCTGTGATACACTGGTTCGTGTGTTAAGCTTCCACAACAAATCACTGCCACCATCCACAAATTCAAATCAGTTTGAATTTTCGCAACTCGACGCGGGGACAACATTCTGTCTGTGGACCCCTTTTCCTTAGAAATATATTGCACAGGAGTACCAACCTTTTCGCTGATACACGAGTCAACTAAGTGGACTTCTTGGGTAAATTTCTGATGATCCCTCGCCTCCTCTAATCTCTTTCCTTTATTGGCTGACGCCTCCAAGAGTTCCTCCCAGTGAAGGTACAGAGCCTCGATTCGGCGTTCCACTTCGTCAGCCGCAAAGTGCCCAGATGTGATAAGCTCTTCACCAGTTTCCCGAACAGCGTCAATGGCTTCCTCGTGTGCAGTAAGCTCCGCTTCAAAAGCTTTGTTCTTCTGTAGCTTAGTTTCCAAATTAGCTGGGTCTTTGTAACTGTCATCGCTGGCAGTTTGGAGCTTCTCTGTTATCCAGGATTCGGCCTATGGAATACAAAAAAAAAAAAAATAGTTGCCATCCAAAGGAAACTAGTCTCAGTATCTCCTTAAACAATGATATTTAATGTAATGGAGTGGCAATACGCTTTGGAACAATTTTTATTTTAAGTGTCGAAAGTAATTCAAAATTGCATTGGTTTGGTTCTACCGAGCTCTGTGATTGGTTTAGAAAACTCGTCTCACCCTCATAACCAATCATATGCAAACCCAAACAAGGTTCAGCTTGTTTTTACGCGTTTTCTTGCGCTTAAGGCCGTTTACAGACATTCCCTTCTAGATGCACGATGTGATTATTACGCCAAAAAATTGAGATGTGCCCCGCGTTTAGAACACGGTGATAAATTCAGGAGTCATGAAACTCAAAGCCTTAGAGAAAAAAAATCCTCGATATACTGTTTATTTACCTCAACAACGTCTTGATAAAACTGCGCGATCTTTCTCGAATCCTCCAGTTTGTGTCTTCTTTTCAGCAGCTCTTCATTTAATTTGTTTCTCCGTTCGCACACGCCATGAACTCTGCCCTGTATTTTCTCAGATTCGCTGTGACTGTTCGCTACCAAAGTGTCTCCAAATTCACAAAGATTTGCCACTTTCTCATCTTGTGAGGCAACGAGCTTCTCTGTGTTTTCGTGTTTCCTGAGTAGCGAATCGACTTCGTCCACGCTACTTCCCAGTTCTGCTCCGGCGAGTACAACCTAGTGATAAAAGAATGCGTCACTGTAAAGAACTAACACGTATGTGAAAGGCATGGTCCTAAGCGGGCATTATATGATAAGTTTTGTTATACGCGCAGTTTGATTGGTTCTTACCAATTACCTATTGGATGGCAGATGCGTAGACGACGTCACCGTTAACAACATTTTGCTTTTTAACTATATAAAACAAATAGATTCTATGTTGCTGTGAGTCAGGAGAGTGAAAGATCATGGAAAACGTCAGAACCTACAAGCAACATTGGTCTCACCTCTTGTGTGCTTGTTAAGGTATCGATTTGTTTCGCTTCTCTGAGAAACACCTGCAGGTCATACGCTTGATCGAGTTCTGTTTTGTTATCTTCCCATGTTGCAAACAAACTTTCACGTTCGGTTAGTAACAGTTCCAACTTCTCTGCGATCTGATAAGAACACAACAAACACATAAGTAACAATAGCTATGACTAATCAAGCGAAATAAGACGAACGATTTGAAACAAAAAATTGAAAGCCGATCCAAATGTTTCACGCATCCTCTTTTCAAGATGCACAAACTGTGAAAGAACTTGTCACGTGTCTGTATTTTTTTCCCAGCTAGATGGTAAGACTTCTCACAAAATCATTTTGACCGTCCGTTCGGCTAACCCCCTTAACCTATACCTTCCCCTTTAATACTAATGCATTATCCGAAAAACAGGTGGTGAGAAATGACAAACGTTTCAGCGAGACGATGTAATTCGCTGGTAACTATTTCTTCTTCGGAGACGAGAGGCATTGAAGGTGTCTTGGCCTAGAATACAACGCAATGACTCGGCCAGGTCTCGACCCAGGATCTCATTAGACTGACCACTAAGCCACCGCGTCTCCTACTTCATGAAAGAAGCAAGGAAGAAATCAAACGAAACACTGACCTCGTCTGCTGCAAAGTGGCCATTGTCAATCATCCTCTCACCAATCTCCATGACTTTTTGGAAGCCCTCTTCTCGCGCATCCATCTCAGCGCGATGCTCGTCAATCCTCCTCAACTGAGCCTCGGCGTCTACTACGTCATGCACAGGTTCACCAGATGAGATGGTGCGGCTCATGTCAATGCACCATGACACAAGGTCCCGGATCTACAGACGTCATAAATGACACAATGACAAAAACATTCATCTGGCAATAGAAAGGGTGATGGCAGGATTGGTTGGGATGAAGGCCTACTCTAGCGTTTCACCAGCATCGAGGAAATTTTTTATACTTTCTCAGTAGTAAATTCTTTTTCTTGCAAGCCCCCCCCCCCTCCTTAGTTTTCATAGTGAATTATCGATTCAGAGTGGTGTAATTCCAGGGAAACCGTGCAACATACATTGCGCCCTGCAGAAAAAAATTGGTCCCATTCACACGAGGAACCCTCCCCCCCCCTTTAAGCTATCCAAACACAAAATCGATTCAGGAGGGGGATCAGCTTCCTTTATAACCGCTGTTTGTTCGTGTTACAAAAAAAGTTCTCTTCTTCACAAAAAGACTTCGAGGATGACTTTGTCATTTAATTCAGCATTTATTCCATTTAGGATTTGGAGGGAAAATCTGAAAACTTCTAACGTTTAGAGGAAGATATTCCCACCTCGTTGTTAAGCTTGTGGAAATCGCTTGAATCTTGTAGCTTGCATTTCTTCCGAGTTGTTTTCCTTTTCAGCTCATCCCACAAACTCAGTACAAATTCTTCGTGCTTTTTAATGCTCTCAGCTGTGTGACCTTGGTATTAAAAAATAAAACGATTGAATACAGATTCTACTGTGCAGTAGAGAAAATTTCAACCAGGTGTAATCCTAAAATGTATCGGCGTTGCCTCACTTCGCTCTGAGACTGGTGTAGAATATTCACTCTATCCTTTCTAGATAAAATTAGCGCTACTCTTTCGACTAATCAGATGCAAGACGATAACCAATCGCGACTTTCTTACTCGCATCTTCCCGCGCTACAGATACGCTACTCGTTTTACGCTGAAGCTTTATTGGCTCATCGAGATGTTTCCTCAGTTCTGATTTGCTGCTGTGATTACTTTTTTAACGACTCTGATGATTGGCTGTTGTGATTGCTTTTCTACGGACATTGACATGAAATACTCTTAACTATGACTTTCTTGTATTGGTCCGTTAGAAACGCAGCTCACCTGGACCATTCCTATGTTTAGGCTTATCTGTTAGTTTCTAATTTTGGTTTCACGATGATTTACATATTGGCTAAAAACCTTCCCACACCTTTCTATCCTAAGGTCAGCCACTGGCTAGCTAAAGTCTCTTACCATCAGAACAAACTTTGCACGAGTATGCTCAATGTGGGCATTTCAAATCTACCTTGATATGCAGCTTGCAATTTTCCTGACTCAGCTGTTAATGTTTCAACTTGTTGCTGCACCACAACCAAGTCTCTTTCGTGTCCTTCGTGCTTCCGGTGAAGGCCCTGGACGCTAGCCATGTCTCGACCCAGGTCCTCCATGGAGAGCGAGGAATCCTTTTCCTGGAGACGAGTGATCAGCTCGTTCAAGTCTCTGTTAAACCCGTGAATCTCTGCGGCGCTGGCGAGTCGCTTAGTGCGGAGCTTGATTTGATCCTGAAGTTGAGCCCACATGGATCTGAAGGGTAAAACGAAACAGATGAGACAACCAAAGGCGTGCCATACCTCTGAACAAGCACATCGTTAAGCCTCACTCGGACTAAAACCCTATTGCCAAGAGAAACCTAGTTGCGTATACTTTTCCTTGTATCGTTTAGAGTTCATTTTAGGAAAAAAAAATGCCCTTGTGCATCGGCAGTTTTTATGTAAAAATCCTCTTGTTGAAAAACTAGTGTGTTAAACTTTAAAAAGTTTTGTTTAGTCTGGTTACGCAACTTGCTCTTTCTCTCAGTGTATTTTGTGACGTGACCAAAGAGCAGCTGAAAAGGAGTGTTACCCACCTCAGAATATCTTGTTGTTCTTTGATGATCACCGTGTCAGTGTGACCTTCAGCCACAAGACGTTTGGCAAAGTTGTCCACCTCGCTAAATCGTTCAGCTTTAGCCACGACGCTGCGTTGAAAGTCCTCAAACTTCCTTTGAATCACCTGGTAATGAGACAAAAAATATTTGCCAGATTGAACTCGTCTTGAGGACCACTATTTACAAAATGCTACGTAATGAGCGCGTTAAATGAGTGTTTGATTAATCTCCAAAATTTAGTCAAATTATGTTTAGCTTTGAACTTCAATCACGCTATAACGTGCCGATCAGTTTAAGGCTCCAACATCCCCTCGACTGTCGTCCGCGCCCGGGGAGTGGGACATTTGAACCTTGTGTTGGTGGGGTGGGGCATCTGAACCGAAGTGTCAAGTCTTTCAAGCGTAATACACGTGTTTTAATGGAGGAGTTTAAAGGTTAATAGTCTGCTTTCGTAAGTGAATGGCTAGGAAAGACGATTCATATCGTAGTGATGCTTACAAGCGAAAAACCCAACAGCAGCACAAAAAACTAATTGCTGACGTTGCTAAATTCTACTATTCGTTGATCACACAAAGAGTCCTTCATTTGAACAAAGTTTTGGCCCGGGGACGGGAATTTGCACGATCCAACCTTTAACAGTCCAAATACCGGGGGAGGGGGGGGGGTTACCAGGGGGGATGTTGAGAGTTCGATTCGATCGCCACCTAACGCCTAACTTCACAAGAGGCAACCAAAAGCAAAAGTGAAATGTTAAAATTCGAATGATGTAAAGCTCGACCCTTGACCACGAGCTCAACCGTTTTAGCAGATTTTGAACACACACCTCCAAATGCTCAAAATCTTTCCCATAATCCTCAGCCGAAGCAGCATGAAGCTGTTCTGTAATCCACTCAGAGGTTTCATTCACTTCACGCAGGTACTGATGTAGTTTCTTGGACTCTTCCAGTCTTTGAAGGCGCGTATTGGTCAGCGTCTGCAGCCCTAAAAACTGTTCCTCTATGTCACGCTGAAACGCAACGATATGAAAGCAAACTTAGTTGTTGCATTATGGCTTCTTCCCTTGTAAGATGACAAACCGAGGTGTGAAGTGTCGATGTCAAGTTTTCACTATCGCCTTGTGCTCATAACAAACAATTTTTCCATGACGAATGCATTTACCTGTCTGGAGGCAATCTTTTCAGCCGCAAAGTGACCACTCTGCACCAGTTTCCTCGCCTGCTCGCCCAGACCTTGGATGATCGGACTATAGGTATCTACTGCTGTTTGTAAAGCAGTGTGCCTGGTCAGCAGCTTTTCGGCGGAGAGCTCGTCCTTTCCGTAATCCTGATTGGCTGCCAGACCAGCCTTATCATTCATCCAAGAATCCGCTTCATTGGCCTCTGTAAAGTACTGAGGAGGGCGGCAAAACATAGAATGACCTTAATCATCTCTACCACTAATCTTTAATCTCCTACGCTGCCATGCTATAAATCATTCACTGACTGAGTGTGAGGTCGTTCGTCTTTGCACTTTCGTACACAGGTACAAATTAAAAACAGCCATGTTGACCTTGCGCTCTGTCAATGAAAATGTGTTATGGACCAAGCCTGATCGGTAAAAAGTTTTTGGAATTGGCCGAATTCTTTTTTTCCGTTTTTTTTTTTTCAGCGCAGCAAATTCACGAAACTCGTTCCTGTTTCCTGCGTATTGACTTTCTTCTTCCGCATTTTTGCAACTCCACTGCCGTCAAAACCTTACGAATTTTTAAAATTTTTTTTCTAGCACGGAATCAAAGCGGGCAATCCCGAGCGGGAAATCCTGAGCGGGCAATATGGGTCCGTGCTACCCGTTCAGGTAGCCAATCAGGACACAAGAAACGGTCTACCTTGCCCACCAGCGCTGCCAGCTATATAATAAAACATATTTATTAACCTTCTGTGATTCCAGAGCGTCGCTAAGTCTTTGTTTTCGCTCAGCGGCAGCCTTCATGAGTAGTTCCCAACTCTCGTTCAGTTCCTCGCATCTTTCTTCTATTTCATCGGCTGCGTAATGATTGCTGTCGATCAAATCCTGACCGGAAGCTAACACAGTGTCGATACGAAATTGATGGTTGGAAAGTTCATTTTCCAGTGCCTGAAAAGAAAAAAAATTACGATAATTGTTAAAAAAAAAACTCCCAAAAGGATTGACAAAAACGGGCAAAGTGTGGAAGAAAGAAGCTCTACAAAAAACGACTGTGCTTAGTGACAGAGACGGAGGTTTCAACAACCACAGCTGAAATCATCATAAGAATCCAGCGTTATGACTTCCGTTCAGGTTGTCGAGATGCCAATCACGGTGACGTCATGCAAGGCTCCTTTTTCCTGGCTCCTACACGTTTCTTTTTCATTCAAAGAATAGAATTTGGTCTTGATCAACTGATGAGATTATCCCGCTGAAAAGTTATTTTCTGGGAAGGGAGAACCTTCACACAAAAAAAAGATTGACTTCACACCCCGAGGAGAGGAATTAAATCAAATTTGAAAAGATCCTAAGCTAAATGGATTAAAAAATTATATCTAAAAGGACGAAGAAGAAATGTTTTACCAAGTGTCTTTTCCGTAGTCTTTGAACTCCAATTAAACTCGTACCCAGGTCCTCCGAGGTTGCCATGGTCATGTGCTCTCGTATCCAGGCCATCTCCATTTCAATGTCATAAAAGAACAGGTGAAGACCGAGTGAGTCTTCAAGTTGTGACTGACGGTTGGAGGACAGTTCTTTCAGTTCGTCAAATCTGTGGAGAAAAAAAGTGACACGATCCTTAAACATTACCAAATCGTCATACATTTTAACTAACATAATTTCGCTCCTGAGCTTTAAAAAATTTGGGCTTTAGTTACAGAAGATGATTAGAAATATAAATGGTGTGCGATAACTTTTTTCGGAAGAATATGAAAGTAACTGCACCTTTGCAATACATTCTCTGTTGCCTGCTCAATCTTCCCCGCATCAAAATGACCATCTTCGATCAAGACCTGGGCTTGGTCGCAAAGGGACTGAATCTGAGCATCGTGAACCTCGATATCAGCCTCCACTCCTTGGTGTTTCTTGAGGAGGAACTTGACACTAGACAAGTCATGGCCCAGATCTTCAAGGGACATTAGTGTTTCAACTTCATTCATCCAAACCTGGTGAAATATTGGTAACCATTGAAGGTGGTGGGGAAAATAGTTGATTTAGTATCCTAAAAATGCAGTTCCGGTCTAGTAAATATTTTCAGTGAAGTGATTCTTATTCGCCTGTGGGTTGTTTATTTTTCCGCAATCCATTTTGACTGCGCGAGAAAGCCGTACAGTTTTAAATCAAATGAAATAAATTATGTATCAATGATAAATGAAATAAATCATGTTTCAATATCTGAGAGGCATGGGTTCGAATCGCGTCGCAGCCTGAATTCTTACCGTGTTCTCTTCTATACCCAAAGACTCTCTTCTACTGTTTTTATGTTACTCGCTAAACCAACCTTGACGTCTTCCATAGCTCGGTTGAACTGTTGCTGCTGCTGAGCCTGCTGTAATCTGGAACCTTTATCGGCGGACTTGCTGACTAACTCGCTCCAACTTTCATTTAACCTTCCCAATAAGTCCTTGATTTCTTTAGAACCATAATGCCCTTCGCGAATCAACTTCTTCCCACTCTAAACAAATAATTTAAAATATACTTAGGACGTTTATGAACTCCCGCATTATTTCGAGGAAATTTCAGACAGATTAAGGTAAAACACAAATGTTCAAAAAGTACAACAGAACACTGGATCCAAAACTTTACGCATCCTGCTCTAACTCAACAAACGCAACCGCACGATTCTTTTAAACGTTAAATGCTTGGCATGCGCGATAGATAATCGATTGGTTGAATAGGGTTATCTTCAGAAGGAACTGCCTGCTAACTGATAAAAAAGGAACATCGAGTCTTGGAAAACTTACCACGTTCACACTATCGAAGCCACCTTTGTTGGCTGCGATTTCGGCTTCAAATGCCTGGTGTCTCTGAAGTTTTCTCTGTATGTTGGTCAAATCTCTAAAAGATTCGTCTGTGGCAATCTGAAGTTTTTCTTGAATCCAAGCCTCAAACTGAAGAATAAAGGAATAGTTTCATTTTAAATTTTATAGATGAAACTCAATTATGCGACCATTCAAATGAAAGCTCCTGAGCAGTAATGAGGCACTGCGTATTATCCTGCACAGAGAATGTTTTAGATTCTAGATGAGATCAACAGTGTATGATCAAGTGGTATTGTTTATTATGCCTCATTAAATAATTGAGATCTTACGAGCACCTTGATTGGTTAAGTTTACTATATAAAAAGCAATAGACCACAATTTCTGCCGGTTTACCGACTAATAATCCACGAGGAATGTTGGTAGGACACGAGAGAAGTTTGTAAATCACTCGCTTCCAGCTCGCCATAATTTTACGTCACTGGATAAAACCCTGGCACGTAACCCATTAAAATGAAAGCTACTCATGAGCACTAATTTTTGACGTACTTTTTATCATGTCGTTCAAGATAAACTATTCAGTCTGTGGGTGAATTCCCAGAGTGAAAGCTGAGCTAGACTTTCAGGTGGTGCTGTTTATCATTTGTTATGGGTAGCTCTAACTTGTAAGCAAGTGGATGGAAGTTCAGTAAGTGAACATTCAATAAAAAACATTGGTAGTGTGTTTATTATGCAAAACACAAAATTAAATCTTGGGCTGCGATGGAATAGCCGTCTACTGAGGTAAAATGTTAACAGAAGTTACCTCTTGTGTATCTCTCTTGAAGTTCTGAAGCAGTTGAGATTGCTTTAAAGCTTGTCGTCTCTTAGCAGCCAGTTGTTTGACATTCTGTCTTCTTTTGAGGACTTCGTCTTTCCGTTTTGAAATCCTACAAGACATTAAGTTAAAAAAAATGTCGAGATTAGAGTAAAGGGGTGCAAATCGAGGGCTCGTCTCGGTAGCTGGAATTTCATTTTTACCACAATTGGCAGTAATGTCGCAATCTGATTTGCCAATTTGCCGTTGTCGGTAAGAGTACAGAGCACGCTAAACCACTATCGATATGTTACATTTGCATGTCTTACAACTGACAAACGAGTTAAGAAGAAAGAAATTAGACTTCAGTTTTCTCATCCCTAAGGTTGCCGTCAATAACACTATAGAGTTTAAATCTTTTGTCAATTCGCTTACGAGTTTAGTGCGGCTTAACAATTTGCCGCTTTTACATAACTAAGATGAGAAAAATGACGCACCATTGTCTGTCGCGGTGACCAGCGGTGACCAAGCTGTTCGCCATATCATTTAACGAGTGTAGCTTCTCTTCCTGTGCTGTCAGCGTCTTCTCAAAATTCTCATGTTGTTTCAGGAGCATTAGAACATCATCCACAGAATCCTGAAATCAGAGAGCAGATAAGTAAGTCCTTAGGACGCTGATGCTTTGGCATTTAAACTTCTATGATCTATATAAAAGTTCTCCGCACGTTTTATAGTTTTATTACTGAGAATTTATGTTATGACTCTCTTCACATCACCATTTTGCTTAAAAATGTATTGATGATGTAAGGAGAAATTTCCATTTGGTCACTATTACCTTGTTGTTCCTTCAATGAAAAAACTTTGAAAGCTGACAAACTCAGGCTGTCAAGTTGGATATTTAAATATTACAGTGAAAGAGTTCATACCCCGAGATCATCATTAGAGAGAAATGCCTCATGGGAAGCTGACAAGGAATCTACGTATTCCGCATCTCGGATGAACGCCTGCAAAAAAGAAAAAATTTAAAGATATGACACACCGTTAAAAATTTTCCGACCCGATCCATGAAAAGTGGAACTTTTTTTAAGGGACATCTCTGATCAAGGGATGCAAAACTTGGTTCCATCTGAAGAAAGTGCTCTGTAATCTGTATTTCATACTTTCATTTAAAGGACACCTATACTCGGATGGCCACCCGAAAAGAAGGTTCACCATATTGGATGATAGGTGTGATAGGTGTCGCTAAGGCAGCTCCTGATACTTTGAAGCAGAGCATTGAGAAATCCGGATGTCAATGAATACGTTACCAATAATGCATATTTGGGAGACAGAGGAAAGATTAAGGAAACGTACAAGCAATTAACCCTTTACACCCAAACATCATCATGCATTTCCTCCATTCTGTTGTCTCTACATTTCCTAAGTTGCTGACAAGGAGAATTTGGTTAACAATCAAGAGATTCTTTGGTAGGTGATCATTTCCTTTACTCTCGTGATCTTAAAGTGTGATATGGGGGTGATACTGTAAGGAGAAATTAGATGCTAGTCATTCTTAAGGGTTTAGGTATTAAGGGTGAAGGTCACTTTCTGTTTGGTGCAATGATGTGACGGAGAGAGGCAAAACGACGGATACATCAGTGAAGACTACATGAAATTACTTCAGTTCAGGACTGAACAGCTTACCTGCAAATCTTGGCCTTCATTTAGTGCCTCATTCCTTTCAACCCAAGTGTCCTTCAGTGCTGCCTTCTCTTTCTTCAAAGCTGCTACTCTGTCCTTTAACTGTCTCACTCGTGGGTTTGAGGCGACCATCCGCTGACCATATTCTATTAACTGGTCAAATCTGCAAAGAAACCAAGGGAGCAAGTCAGCTCACAAGAGACACAAAGTACTGAGTGTCGTAAAACCCAACTTAAGGAGCCACACCGCAAATAAGTAAAACATTTCCGCCTTTGTCCCACCCCCCTAACATCTGAATGGGGAAAAAAACCAAACCTTGTTGGGGGAGGCAGGGAAGGGAGTGTGTGAATTTTAGGTCCATACCTAAACCTCAAAGTCTGAAAAGGAGAGTTTCGTTAAACCACGAATTCTGTATGAAATGTTTAAAAACCTTACTATAAATTATAACCTGAGTGATTCCATTTGAAAATGATTTCAATGTTTCTACGGCAATTTTGTCTTTACCTGTCGTTGTGTGTTTGAATATCTTCCCACTTTCCTTCGTGTTCTTGAAGAAGTTGTTTGGCGCTGTTCACGTCTTTCGGTGTGTCTCCAATTCTAAGCGACTCACGCATGTCTGAGGCCCAGGATAACTGAAAGGAAAGAGGAAACGCATTTCAAAACAGCTTCATCAGAAACAAGGTGATCTCAATCAATCGCCAAAGAAATAGAGAGAAAAGTCCGCGGTTAGACGTCTTCGCATGCTTTTACCAGATCTCTTGAATCAGCAAGGAAGCCCTGCTGACCGTACGCTTCATCCAGAACATTCTTTCTTTTACTTGCTTTACCCTAAAGAGTGAGAAAGAACAAAAATCAATCTTGCTAAACTCTTAACGGGCTAAAATGACTCTGGGTCAGGCCCAAAAGATACTTATTCCCACGAACATTAACTCACTGTGTTATATTTCAACTTCAAAGTTATTATAATTTCAAGTTTCTCATACTCGTAATGGAGTGCACTCCGACCCACGTTTCTATGACGTTGAAGGGTTTTTTCTGGACTATTTCTTGAGGCAACCATGAAAAGACTTGACTTCATTCCATTATTCTCTCTCATCTTTATTAAAACAAAAAACTGAATTGAAAGTCACCTTCAAGCCATTCCATAATCCAATAATTTCCGCTTCTTTAGCTTTGATCTGACGAGCTTGTCGAGGATGATGGGAAACAAGGCTGCAAAACAAAGAAAGAGAGATCGTGCGTGCACAGCGGTTTAACATCGGGCATGCGCGAGGGTATCAATTTTGGCCGGGTGCGCACCAATTCCCAAGCCAAAATTCCAAAGAAAAAACTTAACAAACCAACGCTGTCTCGCAAAATAAACTTAAAAAGATTGAAACATTCACAGGAAACTGTAACAGGAAAAAAACAGCAAGGAAAAGAAAACCCGAGAGTTTTCGAGCATAAAGCTGATTCAAGTACAGGTTTTTCACCCTTCTGTTTTGAGTTTTAACGAAAAAGTTATAGGCCTTGCGATCACCGTAACTTACTGGCTTATGTGGTTGTTTGTAACTTGTGTGAGACAACTTAGTCATGACAGCCTTGAAGCACGCCATCTTGTCATTACAAAGATAGCACATGCGCAGACGTTTGACCGCTGTCTTGATCAAGCATGCTGAGCCAACCGCTGATAAAAGTTCGACAATCCCAAATAAACGATCAAAAATGTAAAACTTACGATTTTGCTTGGTCCTGTAACTTTACAAGTTTTTCTTCCACAGCAGCGAGATCTCTTTCGAAACCCTGAAAGAATTTAAATGTAGACAATATAAAGAGGGGGCCGGTCGCGTGACTTACATGTAGTTTTATGTGGTATATGTATTTTTATGCACTGATATTAGTCTTGACATTTGTGAAAGCGATCTGGGACTACTACGATTTTGGCTTTATTTTGTTTAGCCTAGAGCACGTTCACATTCTTAGCGATGCAGGACGCGCGTTTTTCTGCCCATGGGAAGATTTGAGACGAGTCGGGGAGAGATTTTCTGGGCTCTGGGACTCATTATCAGAGCCAGACCCCTTGCACACCTCTCGCAGGCAACGCTTTACCCTTTAATTAGTCTGAAAACTCGTGTCATCCTCTAGGGCAATCTCACCGCTAAACTAAAACCAAACAAGGCTAGTTCGCTCGCGCTTTTTTGGTGCTGCATAACTTTGGTTTGGGTTTCATGGACCTAGGTCAGTTTATGCTCTGTTCGAAGCTAGTTGTCACTTCTCGTTTTCACTGACTTACTTGGTGTCTCCTCTGTAAAGCTC